TAATTCATAGTAATTTCATCAATTTGGTAAATAAGCGGTATTTATAGAAAGGTAAAATAATTGCTAATAAGATCAAATAGATTAAAAGGAATAAGGAAATTTATGTATCAGTAAGGCTGGTTTAATATACCTTATAGTTAATTAATTAAATTCTATACAGATTAGTTCATTTGTAGCAGTCAATTTTCTAATGTAAATGCACTGACTTTTTAAATGACATAGACAAAGTATTGGTATAATCAGTTTATGAAGCCTCTCACTATTATGAAATTTAAATAAATGATAAATGATAATTGGATTTGTGCAGCATGGGAGAAGCAGCCACGGACTTAACTTTATTAAAGAGTGTTATTTTTATGAAATTTAACCTTAATGTGATCACCTTTCAAAAGTTGTAAACCGATTTGATTTCAAAGTTGCAAAATGATCTGCACTTCACACCTACACACACACACACATACACATTCTTAATATTTGCAAATCTTTATTTTTGAAGACACATTTATTAGTCAAAGTCTGATGAATTCAGCAGCAGAGTCAGAAACTACAAGGAAATAACTGATGTTGCAATCTCATAAACAAATTCTGAAGAAAATTTTAAAAGAGAGTTTTGAAGAATTATTTGAGCAATAGCAATGTAATTGGATTACATTTATCACCTCTAAAGGTGATTCATTTGGAGGTACAATATCTGTTATGGCAGCTTTAAAAAATATGAATCTCATTAGTTTGTAATTAGATCTTGGGATATAACCTAATTTGAAGGAATTTCTTGCATAGTTCATAGAGGTGTTTTTACACTCAATGAAGAGAGATGTTTAAATACCTGAACAAAAGATTCAACTAAGATAAAAGAAGCTTTGGATAGTTACAGAAACAGGTGTTAAATGAAAATGCCCCAGTAACTCGGTTGCTACAAAACATGTTCCTTTAGGCTAATGCATCCCATCAGAACATTGAGAGATAAAAATTATTAACAAGTGGATGCTCTATATTCAATAAGGGGATATATCTCCATGAGAAGAAATGCAGATGTGATATAGTATGCACCTTCTCTACAAATGAGCACAAAAAAAGCACTTGTTTTTTGCATGGCGATTTAGAGGTTCAAATGAGAAAAATAAGGCTTGTTTGAAAAAAACAGCTCAAGACAGTATGAAGTGTGAAAATATTCTAAACAGAATCCCATGAGAAGAGAGGTAAGAGATCACTTCTTTGTTTTAATGATGGCAGTCATAGTAATTCCAAATAAAAGGCAAATCAAATATGCTCTATCATAAAGAGAAAAAGATCATATCATTTTTGTAGCATTATAGCATAAGTAAAGCAACTATCTAATATCTCATTAATTTTCTGAGTTATATTTTCTGTCTTGATTTTTCCACATGTTACTCAAGATAAGCCTATTATTTCCTTTAAAATTAGTTCTGGACAAAGAATTAATGTTATGTTATTGAATTATAATAATTAACCCAATTCTGTGTGCTTATGGGGTTAAAAGTAACCTAGATTTGTTATATAATATTCATACAGGTAGCAGAGTTGAGCAGCAGAAGCTTGCTGGACCCATAATATCCCTATACTGCAAACATTTAATAAATCGTTCATTCAGTAGCAGCATCTACTAGGGACCTACACCTTTAGATGAATCTTGTATACATTTGTTTTAAAAATAATCATTTTTTAAAGATTAAAAAAATTGATATTTAGAGAGAGAGGAAGTGAAAGGAGAGAGAGAAACACCCATGAGAGAGGGGAAAACAGATAAGACACTGCCTGCGTCCTGTACAACCCCCACAGGGAATCCTGCCCCCAACTCAGCATGTGCCCCACCTGGGAAATGCATGAGAGGACACTCAACCAACTGAGCCACATCAGCCAGGGCTCCTTTTTACTTCCTACAGAAGGATCTCTTACCCTTTGGAACAGCATGGAGGGACCTGGAGAGTATTATAAGCAAAATAAGCCAGTCAGAGACAGACAAGTATCACATGATCTTACTCATATGTGGAATCTAAAGGACAAAATAAACTGATGAACAAATAGATCCAGAGATATGGAAGCATGGAACAGACTGAGGGACCTCAGAGGGAAGGTGGGGGTGGGTGGGAAGAAAGAGATTAACCAAAAAACTTATGTGCATATATGCAAAGCCCATGGACACAGACAATAGTGTGGTAGGCCTGGGTGGGATTGGATGGAGGGGATGAAAGGGGGAAAAAATAGGGACATCTGTAATACTTTCAAGAATAAAGACAAATTTAAAAAAAACAAACAAGAACTAGTAATCAGAAATCAAAGACTATTTTGCAGTAAAAAATGTCCCCATTAACTTTATAATTTCTTCTACTATTGAAATTTGAAGAGTAGCAGATCTCCTATTACAAACATTAAAATTATTTAATTTAATGAAATTAAAATATGCATTTGAAGGAGTTACTGTCCAATTATGCTGTGAGTTGAAGGAAGAGTATGAATCTGATAACAGTATCACGTGGAAATAGAAAAGTTTAGTTCAATAATAATTTCTGTGGCAAACAGAAGATTGCATGTCATTAATAATTTAAACAAAATAGAGAAATAACAGGAAAGGAAGATAAATTACAGGAGGACCCCAAAATGCATCTGAGTTTCGAAAAGATTATTCTAGATAAATTCTGCTGATGGAAAGAGATGAGAGTAAAACAGAATACTCATCATATATTAAATAAAGATATTATAAATAACAATTGTAAATAAAAGATATATTTTAATGCATATTACTGAAAAGATACAATATTTAATGCATATTACTGAAAAGATACAATATTTATTATTCTAACAGAATAATAAATATTCAATTAAGCAAAATAATTGTTGAAAATTTGGGGGTGAGAGGTGCCAAAAAGGACTAAAAAAATCATAATCCATTCCCACAACTATTCATATACCTTCTGAAATCAAGTCTTTACAAATCTCATAATACTTTTTCAGAAGTTACAGTAAAATTACATAATAATACTCTTTGTTATCTACTTTGATAAAATAAAATAAAAACACATTTGGCTTCCAGTACCAGTTTTAACATAACATGAGTGTCTGCTTTAAATAACAAATTTTCTCAATGTTAATATAATCTATATGTGAAATTATTTGGTTAAAATATTTCCTAAAAATACATTTATTTGTTTTATTCTAAAAGTCTATGTCAAAACCATAACAAAAATACCTGATTATATCTGAAAACAAAAATAATTTTAAAACAAAATTTAAACTCTATGTTCAGATCACTCTAGAGTAAAATAAATATTTGAAGAAAAATGTTCAGTTTTATTTACAAGATGTTCTTAGTAAGCATAGAAATTACTAAAATAATTTTAGAATAAGAAAATTACACTAAGAAATCGTTATATTCTACTTAAATATCCTTTGCATTAGGTTAAAATTAATGTTCGTCATGCAAAAATAATTATTATTTTGCAATAGCACCAAAATTGCTTGGCAGACAACAGAGCAAGGTGTGGGGAGTAGAAGAGAAATGAAACTAGGTTAGAAAAGCATGGGTGTTCCCAAGGTTTGATACTCTCACAAAGAGAAAAGTCAATGAAGGTTAAGAAATACAGTGGGCAACCCTGTAAATACTAAAGCCTCAAATCAGGGCAAAGGAAGTGAGAAACTAGGCAGAGGAAATGCACAGCAGATGAGTTTGCTAATAGGTGACGTGATTAGGTTGCTCCTAAAACCAGGAACAGAAGCTCACTAGGAGAAAACAGCGAGTTCTCATCATCCAAATGAGGTTATAAACTATCTGAGGATATTATGAAAATGAAACATTGAGAGTTTATCTAATTTTGTGATTAACAAAGCAGTTACAATTACCATGAGTACAAGGCAATATGGCGCTCTTGGAGTCTATTAAAGATATTTGTAAGATGTCTATTTTGTATTCTTCCATTGAATTTTAGACCTTTTGAACTTACAGGTAAAAATCCCTCTCAGTTCTGGTGGGAGGTCGAAATCAAGAAGTCTTCTGCCAGTTGAAATAAGTTAAGTCTATGAATTGAAATGACCCTTCCTTGTACCTGAGTCCCAATAACTGGGCTAGATTCCCCCCTTCCTGTACAATCAAGTCCCACTGTGTCCATTAGTTTTAGTAACTGCTTTCTGCTCTTCTCTCTCTGGCCTAAATTCTTTTCTCAATTATTTGCTTAAGAAATAATCTAGTCCTGAGGTCTAGTCTTTTCAGACCAGCCTCTAACCCCTACATCTCAGGGCTTGACCCCCTTTTTCCCGATATTGCTGGTCTGCAAGCCTGGGGCTTTTATTAACTGCTAATCAGATCGGCTGTGCCGCCTACTATATCCTTATAAATGTGTCTGGCGTTTGTCTTTGACTCAGCCCACAGTTCTAGAACCACGCTGAAACTACCATGCCTTCCCTACCATGTTTATTCTTCATAATACTTAGTTCTGACTGCAGCCTGTGTTTACCTAAACAGATGATTAGCCGAATAAGAAACAGTCATGATGCCAGATTGTAGTCCCACTAAGTTACATATAACTGTAAAAATTATGCTTTTAAATAACGTGAGTGTCTGAGGGAACAACATATATATGGTTATATATTTGGTAATGCAATATTCTACATGGAAAGTCATATTTTTGAAAGTGTATTTTATCATTTTACTTTATTCTCCCCATTTTATTTACTTTTTGCATTTTATCATTTTAGTTTTTTTCCTCCTCATTTCATTGTTTTTGGCATTTTACTGAATGTTTTAATTTTCCTTATTCTTTAATGTTGATGTGATATGTTGTGCTGTGTTTTCCTCTGTTCTTTTCTCTATTTAAAACTCCAACATCATTTAGTCTGGGACAGTGGATCCAAGAAATAAAAAGAGTAAATAAAACCCTGTGAGTTTTCTGGTTGGCACCTTAAGATATACACTTCAAAGGGTTGTGTCTCCATTATGAAGGGTACTGAATTAAATAAGAATAATTTTTAAGGAACAGGAACTTTACCTGCTGAAGTCGGCTCCTCTTCATCCGATGCTACAGTGGGGAAGGGAGGGAGAGAGACAGAGAAAGAGGTTGAGATTTCATATTTCTAAGCAATGACTATAAGCTCTTGACTTGTAATTTTGTGTATATATTAGAAATCTGTCATTAGATAATTAGATAATGACAGATTAATGAGTATTTACATTAAATTAACATTTATATACTCATACTTCAAAATACGCATGCATTAGAAAAGACCATTCAAATGTCTAAATTTGACTTTTCTTTCCTATTACAAATAAGATTGACTTTATTTAGAGTATATTTATCATAATTATTATAAATAATATTGTTTAAAATATGTTTTAAATAACATAAAATACCCCACTATCAACCACTCTGTAGAAACATTTATTAGCAAAGAAGAATTAAAAGGCATTGTTGGTAGTCGAAAAACTGTTCTTTGAGGTAGAAATTATAAATAAGACAGAAGTTATTAATCATTAGAGTGACTCAGAATCACTCTGGGTGTTGGTTAAGCATGAATATTCTAGGTCTCCCCCGGACTCCTGTCACACACACACACACCACATACACACAAACACACTCGCTCACGTGTACTACATATTTCAGGATTCAGTAGTGGTGATTCTGTGGTGAGGCCCCAGGAACCTGCATTTTAAAGGTACCTTAAGTGGTTCTGGCACAAGTGTTCTACAGCCCACATGTCGATAAACATGGATATTATGACAGGAGAGGCCACGATATGAAAATGCAACTTTCTGTTAAAGCTGTAGTTCTCAACCCTGACTCCATATTAGAATGCCAAACTCTGGGCCCCACCTCAAACCAGTTAAGTCAGAACCTCTTCCAGCAGCACTAACTTGCAGCCAGGTTTGAGACATTATTAAGTCATATCAATATAAGGCAATATGAACTGTAATTCAAAGTGTGAATCATTTGGATTCCTGTTTTTAAAGGGAGAAATTGTTGAGAGCAGCAAGCTTCCAAGGCTAACAATCTAAGGCTGGGTTTATGTGGGGGATGGAGCACGGTGATTACAACAGTGAAAAAAAGTTTACCTGAAGTAGCTTCACAGTTTTTGCTAGAATCCATCTCATCACCTCTATACTAATAGACACTCCATGAACAGGTATTTCTGTTCTGTGCACAAGTGCAGCTTACCCAGAATAGTACTGTTGAAATAGGTGACACAAGCCAGCACTATTTCATTTGATTCATGAAGTTTTAAAATAAAAATTTACGCAGCTGCTTATAAAGGAGCTTTGCTCCCAGGCGATTCGTTAATCAAGGTACCACTGTGCAACCAGGGAGCAGTCTCCACTCTTTTCCATTAAGATTACATCTGCACAGAATCCATATTAGACAAGCTTACTTTGTGTCCTGACAGTATTTCCCTCTCACACTGTTTGGCTTGTCTCCTTGGCACATAAAGAAATGGAGAGAGCAAACTCAGTTGTCATGCATGGTGTAGAGAATATAAATATTTAAAGAGCTGTAAGCTTCTTTATCATGTCCAAAATATATCATAACATGTTCAAAGAGGAAAGTATTGGTAGCTTCCAGGAATTCCTTTTTTAGGAAAAGACCATAGGGGTTTGTAGAAGTGCCGACTTAGATGGGTCACTGTTAGTAAAAGTCTGGAGAGACTCAAAATGGAAAAAAAGACCACTTATGACTAATCACTTTATGTGTGTGAACTCAATTTATAAAGCAACTGGTGAGATGAAAATTACTCTTATTTGAAAGATGAAGATAATGATGTTCAGAGTAACTGAGCAGTCTGTCTAAGGTCAATTGCATTTGAGCTGATGTCAGTGTGACTTTAAAAGCAAGCTTTGCCACCATGCCTTATTGTCTCACAGAGCGCTGATTCCATATCCACTGAGAGAAAAAGTGAAGAAGGGAGAATCGGTCCTGGAACCAGGACTGGCTAGAACTCTGATAATGTTAGTTAGACCTAAGCATATGGAAAAACAACAAAAACAAACACCTGGATGTAGGGGTTGGGAGGAAGCCCCTTTGAAAAATAAAGTTCTCCCTTGGAAACTTCTTCAAGTCCCCTATAATTCAGGGATAGACATAAGCAGGTGAAATCCTGACTATTTAGTTAAACAAAATATCCTAAGCATGTGATGCCTAAGGAGGAAAGATTAAATCTAATATTTGACAAAGGAGGCAAGAGTATCCAATGGAGTAAAGACATTCTCTTCAATAAGTGGTGCTGGGAAAACTGGACAGATACATGCAAAAAAATGAAACTAGAACACCAACTTTCACCATACACAAAAATAAACTCAAAACGGATAAAAGACTTAAATGTAAGTCAAGAAACCATTAAAATCCTGGAAGAAAACATAAGCAGTAAAGTCACAGACATCCCACGTAGTGGAATTTTCACTGATACATCTCTAGGACAAGAGAAACAAAAGAAAAAATAAACATATGGGACTACATCAAACTAAAAAGCTTCTGCACAGCAAAAGAAAATAGCCTTAAAAGCAAAGGAACCCCATGGTCTGGAAAAACATATTTGCCAAGGATGTATCTGATAAGGGGCTAATTTCCAAAGTATACAAAGAACTCAGCACTCAGCAAGAGGAAGACAAACAACCCAATTAAGAAATGGGCAAAGCACCTGAATAGACACTTCTCCAAAGAGGACATACGGATGGCCAAGAGACACATGAGAAAATGCTCAACGTCGCTAATCATCAGAGAGATGCAAATTAAAACCACAGTGAGGTATCACTTCACACCTGTCAGAATGGCTCCATCAACAAATCAACAAACGACATGTGCTGGCGAGGGTGTGGAGAAAGGGGAACCCTAGTACACTGCTGGTGGGAATGCAGACTGGTGCAGCCACTATGGAAAACAGTATGGAGGTTCCTCAAAAAATTAAAAATGGAGCTGCCTTTTGACCCAGTGATTCCACTCCTAGGAATGTATCCTAAGAATCCTGAAACATTCATCAGAAAGGATATATGTACCCCGATGTTCATAGCAGCACAGTTTACAATAGCTAAGATCTGGAAACAGCCCAAGTGCCCATCAGTAGATGAGTGGATAAAAAAGCTGTGGGACATTTACACCATGGAATACTACGCAGCTGTAAAGAAGAAGAATCTCGTACCCTTTGGGACAGTATGGATGGACCTGGAGAATATTATGCTAAGTGAAATAAGCCAGGCAGCGAAAGACAAATATCACATGATCTCGCTTATACGTGGAATCTAAAGAACTTAATAAACTGATGAACAGAATAGATTCAATGACATGGAAGCATAGATGAGACTGACAAATGTCAGAGGGATGGAGGGGTGGGTGGAGGGGGGGAGAGTAACCAAAGAATTTATATGCATATGTGCACAGCCCAAGGACACGGACAATGGTGGGGAGAGGGACTGGGAGGGGGAAGGGACGGAGTGGAACGGGTCATTGGGGAGAAAAAGTGACATCTGTAATACTCTAAACAAAAATAAAATTAAAAATAAATAAATAAAAAGGGAAAGGAAAGGAAAACAAAGAATCTATTCCTCAATTATATATGGATAAACAAGGTATTTTAGGAAAGAACTAGCAAGTACTGAAGTAAACACAATTCCAAATGTATAGGAGTCCTAGCACTTAGAAAGATCTTAAAACTAAAGCCTCTGGGGCAAGTAGTACACTAACCTACACTTCAACCTGTAAGACCTGAAAACATCTTTGCAAAAAATTATCAGTATTAGAGTCAGCAGATACACAAGTATGCATAGAATTCTATTTCTATGCAACATCTCCATAGCTGTGGTTCCTCATAATATGCAGATGTCAGTAACCAATATTCATACTACTATAATACTCGGGTATGCACACACACACTCACACACACTCACAACAGCACATACAAGGGGTAGCACTGGCATTAATTCACTGTTTCAGTTATCCCTGACAAAGATGGCTTTGTAAGCTAACTGAATTACCAAACAAAGCATCATGAACTATTAACAGATGGCACCTAGATCCCTAGAAATACATATAATCCTCAAAATGGACATCGGTGGCCTATTTGGTGATATTTAAGTGAAATAAGTATCACAGAAAGTATAAAAGTCTGTGTCATATGCAAGTTCCTCCAATCCTGAAAATAGAAAATACATGCACTAAGCAGAACAAAAATAAACAAACAGATGATTCTGTATTGCTCTGCACGGTCACAATGAAGAAGGATGCACAGAAATTATGGTTATAATAAAACAGGCATTAAAAATATATATCTGATATACAAAATTTAGCTAAGTATGGTCCTATAATTGCCCATAGAGAATAACCCTGAGTATTTGCTAAAATGCCCCAGATCCACTGAATTTGAATTTTGGGTGTCAGCCCATTTTACTGCATTTTTAGAATGCTCAGCAGATGACTGTTATGAACACTAAGTGTTCAGAGTTATAGCTCTACCCATCAAAGTTTGTTGCAGTGGGAAAGAGCCATGGGTACAGTTGTTGGAACTACAGGAGTAAATTAGCAGGCTTATAGGAAACCCCTTGCAATGTATACCATGATTGCTTCACCAGTTTTCAATGCTCTTTCTCTTACAATATCTTCAGGTTTATTAAGGAATCTACATCAATCCTTGGGAGAAGATGACTCCTCTTTTGAATTCAAGAGGAAGTCTGATCTCTGAACTAAGTAAATATTTTCTCCTTTCCTGACCACAGTTATTGGTCTAGGTAGGTATATGACCCACTTGGGGACAATAATCTGTAAGCACAGGTTTGTGTGTGCTTGGGTGAGGAGAGGCTCTTGGAAAGGAGGGCTCCTTGTGCTTCTGAGAAAGTGCCCAGGAATAACCGTCTCTCTTTCTCTTAGATACGGACAGGGAAGCCTGTGGCCCCAGAGGTAAGTCGGCAGACCTCTTGCAACCATGATGGGAGCCACCTTTAGAAAGAAGCCAATCCTACCCAAAGGCATAGTGGAGAAACAGAAAGCAAGTAGATTACTGATTATATTGTTAAGCCATTGAATCATGCACTGACCTAACT